CGCGCTGGGGGGGCTGCCATTTCCGCTGCGCTTCTCGCCGCTGGCGGCCTGATCTGGAGACTTGATGGGGGTGGGCGAGGTGCCCTTCTCGGTCGACTCGGGGGGAGAAGGGGACTTTGAGCCGGCCTTGGACGAGGAGCTGGTGTCCTTGGTCTCTGGAGCGTCGGCGTTCTCCGCTTTCGGGGCAGACGAGCTCGAAGAGCTGCCGAACATCTTACTCAGAAGCAGGCCTCCTTGAGAGGAGAGACTGCGACGCTTGGGTCCTGCCAGGTTGCCGATGATGCAGGGAAGAGGAGGGAACGGGGGCGGGGTGGTCGGTCTCTGTCACCGCGAGGCCCCAAGAGTTGGATCGGTCGGGTCAAAAAGAAGGAGGACGAGTCCACAGAAGTCAAGGTCTGGCCTTGGATCGCCGTATGCTGAGGAGAGTGGTCGCTGTTGCTGTTGCTGTTGCTGGATCGCCAAGGCGGGGCTTATTGGTAAGTAGTAGTAGTAGTAGTGGTAGTCGTTGGGAGAGGAGGGTGAGAATGAGGTCAGTGAAGAGCGAGCGAGTGAGAGCTCCCCGCGCTGCACGGAACAGGTTGCAATACAGCGGAGCCGCTAAGGGGGGCCCGGTGTTTTTGGAGGCGGCAGCTGGTGGTGCTTGCTGGCGCTGGCGCTGGCGGTTGCTGTGCTGCTTGCCGCTGTTCAGTTCTGTCTTTGTTCTGTTCTGTTGCTGCCGCTATGGCGGCGTGTGGGGTCTTTGTGATTGCTTGACTGAGAGATGATGCAATCCCGACTGACCCAGTGTAATGCCTAAGGTACCCGGTATGTGTAGAAGTGTCTACAACTCTGAATAGTGGGAAGAATCAAGACAGCCGGGATTCAAGTACCTAGTGGATGGCAGAGGATCCTCTCAAGAGCAAGAGTGAAACCCCCCGGTACCGTCGGGGAATGTGTGAATCAATTGGTAAGTAAGCAGGAGGAGTGGTGGTGCACTGGTGCACTGGTGCTAGAGGACTCAGTCGCTGAAGATGCAGGGCAGTGCCCGGCGAGTGTGGCTACTCTTTTCTCTTGTGTGTGTGTGTGTGT